GCCGGTGCTCGAACTCGCGGCGGTTGGGCAGGCCGGTCAGCGGGTCGTTGCGGGCCAGCTCCTGCAGGCGGCGCTCGGCCTCCTTCATGACCGTGATGTCGGTGGACAGCGCGTAGATGCCCTGCACGCTGCCGTCGTCCCGGTGGTCGGGGATGTAGACGGTGTGCAGGTGGCGCGTGACACCCAGCGCCACGGACACGACCTCGAACTCCACCCGCTCGCCGCCCAGCGCCTGCTCGATGTGCTGCACGCGCTGGCCATACAGCTCGGGGCCGGCCAGCGCCTGCAGATGCGTGCCGGCCACGACGTCCGGGTCCATGCCCATCCAGTCCTTGTAGGTCTTGTTGGCGTAGGTCAGGCGGTGCTCGCGGTCGACGTAGGAGATGAGCACGGGCACGTTGTCGGCAATCGCCTTGAGGTGGGCCTGCGCGTCGCTGACCCGCTGCTCGGCGAGCTTGCGCTCGGTGATGTCGAAGGTGATGCCGAACACGCCGACGACACGGCTGTCACCGTCGAACTCGGGCACATAGGTCTGCAGGTACTGGTGCAGCTCGCCATCGCGCGCGCCGGCGCGGGACTCGAACACGACGGTGTGGCCCGTCAGCGCCTCGGCCAGCCGGGGCATGACCTGGTCCACGTAGGCCCCGTCGCGCACCTCGTCGATGCGGCGGCCCAGCAGTTCCTCCGGCCGGATGGCGAGCAGCGCGTCGAACTGCTGGTTGGCGAACAGGTAGCGGCCGTCGGCGTCGAGGTGGGAGATGAGGGCCGGCACGTTGTCGGTGATGGCGCGCAGGCGCCGCTCGCTGCGCTCCTGCTGCAGCTGGGCGCGGCGCAGCTCGGTGACGTCGAACGTCATCAGGTAGAAGCCGCTGACCGCGTCGGTCTGCGGGTCGCGCATGGGCACGAGGTTGATCTGGAAATAGCCGATGCCGCCGCGCCAGGGCAGGGCGCCTTCGAAGGACTGGCGCTCGCCCTTCAGCACCGCTTCCACGTAGGGGCGGTGCAGCGCGTAGCTGTCTTCGCCCAGGCCCGTGCGCAGCGGCATGCCCACCGCATGCTGGCGCGACACGCCGTGCACCTTCAGCGCCAGGTCGTTGGCGAAGATGCAGCGCTCCCGTGTGTCGAAGGCGCCGACGATGGCCGGGATGGCGTTGGCCACGTCGCGCATGCGCTCCTCGCTGGCCGCGAGCTGCTTGACGAGCGGGCGCACATGCCGGCGCAGCGCCCAGGTGCCGGCCGTCACGAGTGCGGCCAGCAGCAGCGCCAGGCCGCTCAGGCGCTGGCGGATGACGCTGAACACATCTTCGATGTCCGTCTTGGCGACGATGGCCAGGCCGGTGTTGGCCAGCGGCAGGAAGGCGGCGACGACGGGCACGTCGCGCAGGTCGGGCGTCAGCACCACGCCGGACTCGCCGAGCAGCGCGCGGTTGATGGGCAGGTTGACGCGGCCGTTGGCGTCGAACATCGGCACGGTGAAGGGCTTGGCGTCGAGCTTGGACGGCAGGCACTGGGCGATGTCGGCCACGCGGTTGCAGATGAGCACGTCGGCCGAGGTCTCGCTGTCGCGGATGCGCGTGACGAGGCGGTCCATCAGCACCAGCCGCTGCTCGCTGATGAAGTGGCCGACGACCTCGCCGCGGTCGACGACGGGCCGCTCGGTGTGCAGCACGAAGCCGTCGGCCAGGAAGAGCCGCGTGGCGATCGCGTAGCTGGTGGCGAGCGCCAGCGTGGGCGTCTCGCGGGTCTCGGCAAAGCGGCCGGCTTCAGACAGCGTGCGGCCCGACGGGTTCAGGAAGCGCGTGGCCGTCACGCCGCCGGTGAGCAGGCCGCGCGTCGTGATGTGCAGGCGCTCCAGCAGCGCGGCGTCGTCGGGGTTGGCGGCGATGCGCGACAGCTGGTCGATGACGACGGGCTGCGTCGAGACGGTTTCGGCCAGCCAGATGCCGGAGTCCAGCGTGGCGGTGAAGGCATCGCCGGCGACGACGGCGGTGGAGCGGATGTCTTCGGCGCGGGCGTGCTCGAAGTCCGACTCCAGCGCCGCGAAGCCGCCCGCGCCGGCCGCGATGACGACGACGGCCAGCACGCCCATTGAGCGCCGCGTGATGCGCTGCTCGTGCATGTCGACGCGCTGGTTCTCGCCGCTCCAGGCCTGCCGCTGCTGCCACAGCGCCACCGCCATCAGCGACAGCCCGGCCGCCACCGGCAGCGTCAGCCGGTTGAACGAGCCCCAGTGGTACAGCACCTCCAGATGCAGCAGATAGCCGAGCAGGCCGAGCGTCGACAAGAGCACCGCCGAACCGATCAGGACGGCGCTGCGCTTGAGCGCCGCCTGGGTTACCGGCCCGGCCAGCGTGGCCAGGCTGGCGGCCAGCAGCAGGAAGGCGATGCATCGTATAAC